CTTTACCTAAGGGACTTTAACCCTTTACAGGTAAAGCAAGCAGAGAACATCCACCAAGAGGGACTTTATAGCTAACTGGCTGCTGGGTGTCCATAAAAGGGAGCTCCCCCTGCCCCATTTATCACACCTTCTGATTACATAAGTGAGGTAGCACATTACCTAAAAGCACAGTGCAGGTACATTTTTTTAAAAGGTGATCTACATGTACATTTGTGTCTCTCTCCTGAAGTATTACCAGTCCCCCATGTAATCCCTTTAATCCTCCCTCCTTGCCCATTTTAGCATCAGTCAACCCTGGGTTGTTTAAGTTTGTGATGCCACCTAGTGGCTAGGTACATAACGTAGTAGACCTTATGACCTCTAGGAAGTTGCAGATAATTAGAGGGAACCAATTTTAAAAATATGCAAATCTTTTATTCCAGGGGAAAAATGGGGCAAATTTAAAAAAAACAGGAAAGGTCAGGAACCAAGGACAGATGGGAAAGGCAAGGGAATCAGGGATAGCTACTAACTAGTCACACAGCAATAATTAAACACTCCCTTAATTTCTGAACCCTCTACAAAACCCATGAAAATGCACCCCAAGCCTCCCCATAGGCTAGTGGAGTTGGAGATGGAGAAGGAGGAGTAGTGCATTCCTTCTTAGAAAGTTGGTAGCTGTCCCTTTTGGCTGGAGTAGGTCTCTGGCCAGCTCCTGGTGCAGAGGAGGCCCACTGGGCTCAGTTGGCAGGCACCATTGACGGCACAGCATAGTATTGGGGCTTAGTCTCTTTTCTGGGTGCTCTGCATTGGCCAGACTGAAAAACACATGTTCTCCCCCTCTGCTGCAGGGAGCGACTAATGGGTTGTGTCTCATGCTGCTGCTTATAGCCAGTGCCCTGGAGTCACTTCCCCTCCCCAAACATATGGTATCTCTCTGTGCACATATATGGGGGCCTATCCAAGTGTAGGCTATCCAGACCTGCAGTTGATTGCCCTGGTGTGTCAGTAAGGCCTCTGGCCTGGCAATTCTTCCTCTGTCCTAGCTCCTACTACTGGGGTGGGTCTCAAGGACAGATAAGCAGGTAATTTTAGTTCCCTAGCTGTTGCCTTTGTACTGCTTGGTGCCTTTTAGACAGCACTCATCTGCTCACACTCAAGCTCCCCAAATGGTAATGGGGTGATATAGTATAAAAATACTTCAGACTGAAGTGATGCTGTACCTACTACAGTACCACAAATGAATGTTTTTAATGACTTAAACCAAAAGGGTTTTTGTAGTTATTTAATGAATAAGCCACCTGAGGCTGTGTGGGGCTGAAACGTGACCTGGTCATTTGTGCTAAAACAAGTAAACCAAAGTGACATTTATATTATCATTTAGGTTTTGGAATTAAGACACTTGGGGCTGTTCATGCTTCTTAGTACTATTGTTTCATACAGTGTGCAGACTGAAAAAACAATGTTGTTTCAGTTTGGTTGGTTCATGCTCAAGTTATGTTGATAGCTATGAGGGCTAGAACCAAATTGTGTATTAAAAAATAAAAGCTTAGATTCTGGCTCTCAATTGTACCCCCAGGAGAGGAGGGTTCTGTGGTAAATCTCATGGGTCTGGAATCAGATGTGAATGCTGTGGTGCACTATATGAAGGTCCAGTCTCAAAATGATGCTTTTTTTTTTTTATTGTTCGCTGGTGGCTTATTTCTTAAATGTATTTTTTAAATTCCTCCTCTTAAAAAAACAAGAAGGTGATAATCAGTCACTGAGGGGGAAACTACTACAGTCTTTTTTTATATGTAAGGTAAGCTCAGGTGATGTAAATTGCAGCTTAGCAGGTGTTGACTAGTGTGCGATTTTGCTGATGCCTGGCGGCTATCCCTCAGTGTAAACAAGGCTGAAGTGTTAGTGGAATCTTGGAAGAAAAACCCAAGGAAAGTATACAAAGGAAACAGTTAGTTTGGGGGCTTGTTTCCTTTGCTCCACATAAGGTGGGGGGAATGGGACAAAATGAGGTGGAAGCAGGAATGGAGTTGTTCAGAGCCTTGAAGGTTAGGGGTACAGAACGTAACAGAATTTGAGCAGCAGAGTTATCTGTGTGCACTTCAAACAGGTCATGAGGAAGATGATCCCCAAAACAGCATTTTGGGTGTGGTCTAGGGGAGGAAGTTGTCCATCAGAGAAGCCAGCCAGGAAGTTGTTGCTGTAGTGGAGGTGGAGATTACATAGCAATGAGGAGGAAAGGACAGATCTCAGATGTTGCTGTAAAGGAAGAGAGTCACCAAAACTGGTGCCAGCCTGGATGTGACCGGGGTGGGAGGGAATGGAATCTGAGCTGACACCAAGCATGGGTGATAGGATAGTGGGATTGACGGTGGGAAGGGTGATGAAGAGATTGTGGGAAGAAGAGGGGACTGCTCACTGTGCTACGTTTGAGTTACAAGAGCACTTGTCAGAAAGCCATAGTCTGGAGGCTGAACAAGGTGGGAGTTGTCGCCCTACAGCTTGGGGCTGAAGCCAAGCGAGCAGGTGAGGTCATCCACGACCAGAGAGAAAGACCAAAGAAAAAACCCTGATGAGCATTTATGGACCGGGAGAATGGAGGAGGAGCCACTGATGGAGTCATGTAGTACAGGCCTAAGGGAAGCAAATCCAGATCCATATACTTGTCTCCATCCTTTGTTTACAGTATGGGCTCTGAACTTTTATACAGCTTTCCTTTCTTGTCATCGTGACAGTCGTGTCTGCTCCAGTGAGGCATTCCATAGTTGCTGATGAAGGGGAACCTCTACATCCTCTTCAGTGATCTGACATCAGCTCCTATAGTTAGTGAATTGAGCCTTTGAGGTTTGTGTGACAAAGGTACAAAATAACAGTTGCAAAGAGAGCTAGTTTCATAAGCCTTTCTTCTCAGACAGATGATGCCTCTGATGGCAGTTTATTTTAGATTATATAATATATTAAATAATTTAAAAATACATCATTTTAGTCCTCTCTAGTTCCCTTTATTTTATTGCAGCTGGTAGCTGAATTGAATGCAGATCAGCTAACTGAGAGCTGAATTTGCTGAACTTTTAGATTCTTGGAGAATTCTAATTTTAGAACACTTATTTTAATGGATTACACCAAATGTATGACTTCTATGTAAATAGACTAACCACAAACACCAATTTCTGATTCACTCCCTGAAGAAAACATTGTCCCCATTTTCAAATGTCTTTTAAAATAAAGCAGGTACACCGCTACCTCGATATAATGCGAGCCGATAGAACACTAATTCGGATACAACGCGGTAAAGCAGTGCTCTGGGGGGGCGGGGCTGTGCTCTCCGGTGGATCAAAGCAAGTTCAATATAACGCGGTTTCACCTATAACGCGGTAAGATTTTTTGGCTCCCGAGGACAGCGTTATATCGAGGTAGAGGTGTATATAGAATACGAATAAATAACAATATAATGCTGCATAGGAGCTAAGAATCTGTCATTGTTTCTGTTAAGCAGCTGAATAAATGACTAAAGTAATGTATTAAAACAACATGCTCTTTCTTAGCCATTAGAGGTCAAACACTTCTTGTTTTAGTCAAATGTGAGAGGTTTTAATATTAGATACCCTTCTAAAGATCATTTACTCTATTAATTCCACACAAAACCTGTATTAAGAGAACATTTAGACTGCACAGTTAGCATTCACCCAAAATTAATTCACAACAATGCACAGGAGACAGGAGAGAAATAGTATTTAATCTCAGACTGGCAGTGCATATACAGAAAGGAGTTAAAGTTGAATAATGTAACCTTAATATTGGGTTGTGGGGTTTTGTTTTTGTTTTGGGTTTGTTTGTTTGTGTTTGTTTTTTGGACTGTTTGGTGGTGCAACTTTAACCTAGGGATCTTTAAGGAATATGTATCCTATGGTAAGACTTCCTTTCTTCCTGTGAAGGAAGAGAATTTTTTCCTTCCTTTCTTTGATCATTTTTTTGTAGTTCATATCTGTCAATCAGAACTCTTCCCCCCGCCCAGTTTTGTTAAACTATTAAATTCCAGGGCATTTGAAAGTTACTCTTGTTAAGTTAAAAGATAAATTGTACTCCTCCTTCCCTGAAACTCAGTTTCTCTTCCTGAAACTCTTTGATTCGCAATCTATCTCAGATTGTTTCAGGTTTGGGAGTACCATCCTGTTAAGCAGCATTTAGTTTTTAGCCTCAGGCAGTATATTAATAGTTTGTTTCTATTGCAATAGTCCTTCATGGGACCCTGATCCTGATCGGGGCCTTTGTTCCAAGTGCTGTACATATATGTGCAAAGACACTGTCTCTGCACTGAAGACCTTACAGCAGTGATTCTCAAACTTTTTTTCCCCGCGGACCACTTCAAAATTGGTGAGGGTCTTGGCGGACTACTTAATCTTTCCAAATGTTGTTTATACTGTAAAGCACTTTTGGATAAAAGCGCTATATAAAAATAATTAACCTTTTTTGTTCTACAACTAAAAGCACACAACTCATATTTTAATATACGTAGTCTTACCTTTCCAATGCGATGGATGTACCCTCTCTTCCCTGCCGTGGCAGCCCCCGAGCTGGGGGGTTTCTCCCCGGCAGCCGCAGCCCTGGAGCTGGGGAAAGTCGCCTCTTTCTCCAGCCACCACAGCCTTGCATGTCCCAAATTCCCCGCACTCCCTCTTGTCACCCCACTGCCCCCTCCCACCTACCCCTTATTCCCCCCCAATGCCACCACCTCACCTTACATGTGTCTTCTCCAGGGTCCAGGCACCTAATTAGTGGAGCCATGCCTGCCCGCTCCACTAATTAGGTGGGTGGCCCTTCGTTTTCTTGTGCGTGGCCACCCAGGTCTTACAGTCTAAAACCTCAGAATGAGAGATCTAGTGTCGTCTCACTGGAGATATTCCCTATACAATTGGCAAAAGTGGATGTAGGAGAAGTTCTCTGATAAGGCAACATTTTGCATTTGATATTTAGAAAACCAAAGTTTTTCAATTACAATTGTTCTTTTTTTGTTTTTACAGGTTGAGAGTGAATTTTGGATGAAGCTATCTAACTAAATTGTCATCATGAGCAGAAGCAAGCGTGACAGCAATTTCTACAGTGTAGAGATTGGAGATTCTACTTTCACTGTACTGAAACGATATCAGAATTTAAAACCTATAGGATCAGGGGCACAAGGAATAGTATGGTAAGTTTTCTTTAAATTCGAGCATAAATAATCTTAGCTTAATAATTTAGAAGAGAAAATTGAGTGTGTGATGACTACTGTATCTTACTGACAGGTAGGGTAGAGTCAGTAGGATGTGTGGGAGAGAGAATTTGATTCTCAAAGGGCTTGGCTATACTGGCACTTTATACCGCAATAAAGCCTCCCAGAGCACTCTACCTTACTCCCCGTCCACACTGGCAAGGCATGTAGAGCGCTCTGACTCCCTGGCTAGAGCACTCCTGATACTCCACCTCCACGAGCGGGATAACAGCTGTTGTGTATTGGCTGAGACACCCCAGGGCCAGTGTGAATGAGGAGTTAATTTCAGCGTTCTGACTGACCTCCGGAAACGTCCCATAATCCCTTTAAGTCAAGTGGCCTCTCTCCTCTTTGTTGTGAAATTGGCTGAGGATTGCGGAAGTGCCTTTTCAGAGCTCCATTTCAGACAGCGGCTGCTTATCTGCAACGGGGCAAAGCAAACGTTTACTGAGTGAGTGAGAGAGGCAGGAGGTCTAGGGGGATCTGAACTTACAAGAGTGCTGACACACTCTGAACACTCCAAAAAACCCCTCACTCTCTCTCCCCCCACGTACAAACAACACACTCCACCCCACCCCCCTCATTTGAAAAGCATGTTGCAGTCACTTGAACGCTGGGATAGCTGCCCATAATCCACCGCTCCCGATGCTGCTGCAAATGCCGCAAGTGTGGCCATGCCTGTGCACTTGCAGCTGTAAGTGTGGACAGACTGGAGCGCTTTCCCTAGCGCACTCTCCGAAGGCTGGTTTAACCGAAAGTGCTCTAAAGCTGCAAGTGTAGCCAAGCCCAAAGTGAGGAACTAATTGTAATGACATGTAATGCCCCTTCCCTCTCCAACTCCATCAGTGCATTTTGCCTCTAACCTATAACATACACTCTAGTTCGAGGGTGGAGCCACTTCAATACAAACACTGCCAGTTATGTGATAGTTCTGTAATTTGGCAAACAAATGAGGGTCTGGGAGATTAGGATAGTGCTAAGAAACTGATTTTTTTCCCCGCCGTGACTTAATCCAACCCTGTTTGCCATGGAGTAGAAGCCAGCATTGCTCTTTGTTTGCACACTCTCGGTGTAGTACATGCTTACAGTTCTCAGAGTAGCTGCTTGAAACTGAGAGAATCCATTGCTCATCAGTTCCCAGGAGCAGCCAGCTAGTACTTTTGATGTTGTCTGTCCACAAAAACAGTAAAGGTCTGACATATTTTCAAGCCAGATTTCCTAAAGCTAACTTAAAACCGATTTGGTTATGAACAGTGCCATATGAACTGAAAATTAGGTGAGGGCTGCAGATTAAAGATAGCAAGTAGTAATTTCAGGCAGAGAACTGCAATTGCTCCAGGGATAAGTGTTAGGTCCAGGCTTATTTTACATTTTTGTGAATGATCAGGGAGATGTAAATAGAGCATTAACTTTCAGCTGATACTAAAGCAGGAGATAATACCAAGAGGACACAGAAATGACAAAAGAAACTTAATGAAGTTAGGAGTATGGGCAAGAAATAAAATTGCCTGAACCTCTACAATGGAACCTGTTATAATCTGTATTTATGAAGTACTGTGTAAAATTCTGACAGTAATAGGGACAAAGGAAAGCCAATGCATTTGAAAAAATGCAAGTAGTGCAAGTGACACTTTAAGAGTAACAGTGTTGAACAAGGTATTATTAGGGGTGATAGTTGCCAACAAAGTAAAATAGGAGCTTGCACTGTGATGTGGTAGCAGAAGAGCTAATGTGAATTCTGGGTGGGTCTACATTGTCATGGATAGCCACAACTTTCTTTGTAGTTACATTCAGTTTGGAGCCCCTTTAATACCAGAAAGACACATTAAGAATTATTAAATTAAAAACTAAATGTACAATAACATGCTAAAGTGGGGATAGGGAATGTAGACACACTTGTCGAATACCTGAAGGCAGTAGACACACAGTGAGGAAGATGAATTGTTTAGGATACTAAAAGTGAGTATTACTAAGTGCAATGGGATGAGTTTAAAGGAAAACTCAGGCTGAATTTCTGGAAGAACATCCAGACTATGCAATAGGTTCCCAAGGCAAAAGGCTCCTGTCACTGGGTTTACTCACCATTGGGGCATCTCCTCCTGGCCATTTTGGGAATTAACTCCTGACAGGTCCAACGCCCCCTTCTGCTGCTCATCCGCATACCCTGCCCCTCTCTCTCTGCAACTCAGGGTGATTTGCTTTGACTCTCCCCTTGATCTCCTCCTTTCTCTCCCTAAGGCTAGATAGTGACTGTAGCCCCTCCTGCTGCCAGCTTCCTGGCTCTCTCATAATCCCACCTGTCCCTTCTCAGTTGGGCTCTGTTGCCAATCAGGGGTTGTTTATCCAGCCTAATTCCCCTCAGGTGTGACCTATCAAGTTAATTGGCCTCCTTCTCAGCCTCATTAACCCTTTCAAGATTGGTATGATGTGAACCCATCCTGGGTTAGTGGTGGTCCCTCACCCTGTGGATCAGTGGGAGGCCACTCCACCTCACTGGACGGTACTCACAGTCAGGGAATTAGTAAAGCACTGCTCCGACCTGCAGTCCAAATGAGTCTCTGGGACCCAGGTCCTCCATCGGGGCAGGGTGGCAAACAGTCTATGGCCTTGGCCTGTAATCAGGACAGAGCAGCAAACAGTTAAGGGCTCTGGCCCATGATCTGGGCAAAGCAGCACAAGTCTGTAAGGCTGGGCCCTCAGTCAGGGTGGGGCAGCAGTTTAAGGCTCTGGCCCACAGTCAGGGCAACACAGGGTTCGGGTGTCCTAACTCTAGCTGACAAACACAGGCCTCTTGGCCTAGAGAAGGGAGGCTGCCACGGGTGGCAGGGAATAGGAGAGCCCGGCCCACCTGACTCCACCAGGCCCCGACCCAGGACCTTAACAGTGGTGGAATATTTCACCACTGGGTCAGCAGGGTCTCTGGGGTCAGCTGCCCCTGGGCCACTTCCTCCCCTCCCTTTGGAGTGTACCTGGATCCATGGGGGGTGGGGAGTCCCAGCATTTCATTGGGGTAGAATGCCAGTGGCAGTCCCAGCGACTCCTCAGTGCCTTGGCAGCAGGCAGTTCTGGTCAGTCTTCAGCTCAGCAGGGATCTGCTGCAGTCTCCCCTCTCATGAGTGGGCAGGAGGCATCTGTCTCCTTTGGCAGCTGCAGCTAAACTGAGCTCCAGGAGGACCCACCCTTTATACTTCCTGTCCTGCCTCCTGACTTCCAGTGGGAGGGGCAATCATGGCCTGGCTCCACCCACCTGGGTTCAGAGAGTGGTCCCTCCCCCTCTGTCTCAGTGGGAGACCTCTCTGTCTCACTACAATCCCCATCACAGCTTCTAACTCAGTGCATGTTATGACAAAGTTCCTCCTCTGCCTTGGTGGGTCCTGCGCTTATTGGCGGATTTTGCTCACCTCAAAGATTCACGGCAGCCCTCAGTTTGGCCACTTTTGCTTGTGGCTCAAACCTGCCATTCACTCAGCTAACCTCATCACTGGCCAGCATGGGGAAAAGGAAGGAGAACAATCCCCGCAGTCTCTGCTGATCCACCTTGTGGGTCGAGGGATAGGCCAGGGACCTTCCCCTCTGGTGGGACCTACAGTCCAGGTCAACTCCTCTTATATCCAATAGGGGGAAGGAGGATGTGGGGGAACCCGGGCCCACCCTCTACTCCGGGTTTCAGCCCAGGGCTCTGTGGATCACAGCTGTTTACAGTGTTTCGTGTAACAGCTATGTGACAGCTACAACTCCCTGGGCTACTTCGCCATGGCCTCCTCCCAACATCATTTTTAACCTCACCACAGGACCTTCCTCCTGATACCAGATAGTGTTTGTACTCCTCAGTCCTCCAGCAGCACACCCTCTCACTCTCAGCTCCTTGTATTCCCCTCACTGACTGAAGTGAGGTCCTTTTTAAACCAGGTGCCCTGATTAGCCTGCCTGTCTTAATTAATTAAGGGTCTTCTCTACCCCCAAATGCCCCCCAAAAAGATGACTATGGGCAAGACTTAATACACCGTTCTGGTGTTTTTGAGGTACTAGGATTTGCTGTACCTTGTGCCCCTGTACTGGTGCAACCCAGTACAAGAGATTCTTTTTCATTATGAAGTAGGGTCCTGGTCCCTGGGTTTTCCCTTCCACGGGGACCCCATCTATTTCGGTCACCTCCTTCCTAATGTTGTCGTACCTTGGGTCTTCAGCCTGGTCCCGTCCAAAATTTTCTCTCTCGGGGCTAATCTGCCCGAGATCTAGGGGACCTGTCTCTGTCGCCTCTACTGGTTCAGAGGCATTAGGGGGGTCAGATTCGGGTGCTTCTCCCTCCTGGGCGGCCTCCTTTTCAGCTGCTCAGGTCTGCCTACCTATGAGAGCGACCCTCTGGGTTTGGGTCAGTATTCGGGTTCCCAAGGCCTTAGCTGCCCTTCTTTCCCTTTTCGTCTTTCTACCCTGCCTGGGAGTGGAGAACAAATCTGGGGATATTTCAGAGAAGATTGGGGGTTGACAGTCTACTGTGGATGTCTCACTAACTTCAGGGTTTCCCCCTTTCTCCAATCCCCCTACCAGGAGTAAGTCTCCAAACCCTGGAAAGTCCCTCCCTATGAGCACCGGGTATGGGAGTTTAGGGACTACACCTGCTGCTACCTCAGTAGTTTTCCCCTGGATTTCAATTTTTACCAGGATGGTGGGGTAATAACTAACTGTCCCATGGACGCATGTCACCCCTGTGCGCTTTGCC